TCGGGGCCTTTGGTCAGATGCGCTGCGTATCGAGCTTTTACATCGAACACTCGTTGTTCAGTATTGGCCTCAGAGATCAGGACCGAAGAGCTGGCTCGAAATCGGAGTCAAGAGCGGTCACCGTGGTGGCAGTTCTAGCGACCCGAAGCCTGGGATATCTCACCTCGGCTTCCGATGGATGCGTGATGGCCAGCAGGTCAGCAGCGATGCCATCAGGTTCAACTCAGGTGATCTATCTATGGAGCTTATTCTGAGAAGCGTCATCGCACTACACACGTCACATCTTCTCTCTGCCGCATTTACCACCCTCAAAAAGCATATACTTTTCTCGAATCACACACTATCACTACAGGCTTCACTATCGCCAACAGAACCTGGAGATTGTCGCCTTGATGTGCAACTCACAGCCTCACGTTCTCTTCGAGTTTCTATCGAACCTATGTCAGGGTCCATTACCTTATGTGGGACACCACATGTGTTGGAACGTCTCGATGGTGATCGAGGGCTCTATAAATCATCGATAGAAGAGATACTATCTCGTGTCGCCCGACTGCGGTGTATCACTGCAGTTGATGAGATTGACTCCGGCACAAAGGCACTCGGTCTCGAACCTGTGAACCAAAGAGTACTAGGGCTTGATCCCCGCAAGCTGTTCCCTCCTGGTGTAATGCGGACCGCTTTCTTCGCCCATCGGCTTTGGAACCGGCACTGGGTTGCAGCAGCTACTAGTAGCATGGATGGTGACCGGTGGTGGCTTGTTCAACTTCGACCAACCGAGGCAGCGAAAATGGGAACATTTTATAGTATTGGCGATCATAGCATGAGTGTTCCGCAGGCCCACATGGTCAGTGAAACTCTCATTCCTCTGCAGAGACAACTCAACTACACAACGTGCGCCGAGCTGGTTCATGGTCTCACTGGAATCCTGGCGATCCATGCCAATGCGCGTTATCTGGCAGACTTGCCAGCCATGCATTTCTGGCCATCATTGAAAGAATTGCAATTAGAGACGGATCTCACAGTCCCGGATCTCTTATTCAACTACAGCTCGTCCACACTTCCATCTGCTTTCCGGGTTGCGTTGCCCTTCGGAGTAAGGAAGCAGTCACAATTCAAAGAAATGATTCGACTGGCTTTCCATGGAATTGACAGCCAGAGCCGCTCTGTCATAATGATGGCTCACGGCACTTTGAAAACCCGCATCAAGTCCTTGGTCCCACTCGTCTCAAAGATGGATGCTTCGTTGATCATTGAAGACAAGGGTGCTGGCTTCGCGCTTCGTTTGCTTGTACCAGCTGGACATTCTGTCGTCGCCTGTCTGTTTGAACTCTTGCAACGACTTGAATGTGTTCTCTCCATTCTCCAGTCCCTCATACGGAAGGGAATGGAGCCCCGATCTTTGTCCTTCTCGCGAATTGATTTTGCCTACGGGCCCGAAAACAAATTTTCTGCTTTCTTTGATATCAGCGCCGAGGGGCCTTCTTTGTCTGACTACGTTGACGTTGCAGATGCTATTTCGAAGACCAAGCCTCTTTTCCAACTGAAACTAGGCATCAAATTCGAAAACTCCAGCCCTCATCGCCGGATTCAAGAGCCCCTCAGCGTGGCTTTGAATCAGCGGTTCACCGAAGCCGGTGTTGAATCAACCCTCCAACTCTTGGCTACCACGCTTCCTCTGCTGCGGTCATTAGATCAGATCACTCCTCAGTCGAATCAGACAGATCTGTCAATTGTGCAAATCATCGTGCGCAAACCGACTGTATACCTGATTCACTATCCTCGACTGAGGTCTCGTTTCCACTTGAGTGCAGTGATGCACCAGGACCGCTTGGTCTGGATGTTAAGAGATGCCAGCGGAATGGATCAGTCTGGCCGGGCCCAGGTCGCAGCTTTTATACAAGAGAAACTATACCATTCGAAAGGCGATGGTTGGAATGGTCTTGGAGATGGAGCGGTAGCGAGTATCAACAAGGTTGGAAACCTCATACTCGAGATGCACCAGTGCCTTAACGTTCCCCATCTTCAACTCGACAGAGAAGTGGAAGCCAAACCCGAGCAAATTCCGAAACAATTGCACATCCAAGGCTCGATATCTGCTCCACAAGCCAGAGGAAATGCCGATGTCATCACCATTGACTAAGCATTATGGTGATCCCGAGGTCCATGATTTTCATCTCCGTCCTCTCCAGGGCTTCGACGTAGCTCAATACCTTTTTTGGGCCTTTTCCCTTTTAATGCAAGAGCAACTACAATGTTCTCTTCACGATGTACTCCTAGGTCTCGAATATGACATAGCATCTAAATGTATCTCTGTTCATGATGCGTAAATTTTTAATTAAATCGTTCCTTCAAGTAGGTTAACAACGCTCTTCCCTGATCTTCCCTCGGTTGCGTAACACATCATACTCGACCCATCTGGCCATGGGAGTGCCACCTTCCGGTAGCAAGCGCCCGGGGTTCATGACATGACAGCCCTCATAGGTCATGCAAAACGGCGCAGCCTCGGGGTCTGCAAGAACCAATGCGGTTGGCAGCGGGTACAACTGTATGGCCGAGGCATGGTCCCATAAGACAGGCCGCAATGGTAACGGAAATGGTGAGATTGTTCCTTGGTCCAGGATGGTTTTGACGAGTCTGCGGGCCATTGACGCTCCAGACGAGGCGGTTGCAACCTTGGTGCCATGTTGCTGACCTATGTCTTCGATCTGGCTCTCACCCGCAGCAAAGATTGCATCACCAGCAACACTGCTCGATGGCTCATGCATTGTAACATCCGACTCGTTGTCAAGGGTGGTGTTAACAGCGCTACGTCTCAGTCTTCCCGAGATATCATCTCGAAAGATGGCGATGTCATGCACTGGCCCGAACCATGAAAGACGTGCCGGATTTGAGGTCCAGATTGCATCACCCGCGGGTTCGGGGGTTTGTGATCTATTCAACTCCGAGTTTGCTGTTGCAAATGCACGTTTGACTCGAGAGGTGAACAATTCCGGAATGGGTTGTCGTGGTACTGTTGAGGCTGCACCCGCAGAGAATGCCGATGCCCAAGGATCATTATCACCTGGCACAAAGACAAAGGTCGAGTGTTGTAGCAACGCTGGGAAATCGGATAGAACCAGCGCCAATGAGTCGAAGTATTCCTTGTATTCAATACTCCCGGCTCGGCCACCTCCACTGATGATAGCTTTCTGCGCAAAATTGCCGATCAAGACGAAGGCTTGGGGGCGTTCGGGAAGAGACAGATCATTGTAGGTACTAAAGACCTTCTTCAAAGCGTCCAGTGTCTTCATGTTGTCTAAATTGACTTCACTCATAATAGCGACTTTGAGCCTGGTCGTTTCTGGTACGTCCTGTTCTCCTCGTAGACATTTTTCCTGGATTCTTCTCATTCGTGCACCCTGGGCACGTTCACTTCCCAATCCGAGGAAATCAACCCACCCAAAACCTCCACTAGAACTCAGCTGTCCGCTGCCGTGGCGACTGCTTGTTCCTAGCGAGATATCACGTCGCTCACAGGGAGGTCCGCAGATTGATATGCCGACAAACTGCCCTCCGATTGCACCCCCGACTCCTGTATTCCCTCCCAATGCAGCACCTTTTACCATCTCTTCCTCTTCGTAGACTCCATCGACAAGCACAATCATGCCTGGCGCAAACCACGCGCTATCTTCGGGTATCATTCGGGCATGGCTCAAGTCCAATGCTACACTTCCAGTCAAGTCCACCAGGGACAAATCTCCAGTAGGAGAGATTGCAAGCAACCCTAGTAGTAGATGCGAGGTTCCGCTTCTGCCCAGCAAATTTGCGATTGGCGTCAGTTTATAGGATTGTCGGTGGGCAAGATTGGACGATGAACGTTGCAATGAAGGAACACCAGCGACGCCCAATGAGCTCTGAAAAGATTCATTGCGGAGCAATCGTTGATATACAAGATTGTATCGATCTCGGAATAGTGCAGTTTTGTGAGATGGTGATGGAAACAAGGACGGCTTTGACTTCATGGCTTCGAAGTATTTCTTGTCGACGTTATACGTCAAGCGCGGAAGATCAAACGCGTCAATCACTTTGAACCAATGTCTTGGGTGAAGTGACAACTGTGTGTCGTCTTCCTCAGCGGCCCCTTGTTTGGAGGTATCACCCGCTGTTTCAACCCGCCCATCATCTACACCCAATGTGGATGTCTTCAGGGAACCATCCTGGGAAGTCATTTTCCCAACAACAACCCTTCCACCACTCATGCTGCCTTCGAGAGTTTGCAGTATTGTTTTTAGGGACGCTCCTTTCCCTTCTTCGACAATCACGCCTCCGCCGGCTCTTTTCCATATCTTGGCTACCTCGTCCAGGACTCGCTCTGCTAGGCCTTCCTCGCGCCATCCTGAGCCACAGTTCTTGCCCACAAACACTGCTATTGTTTGAAGCGCAGATGATGAAATTGTGAGATTATGTTTGCGGGTGAAGGTTCGAAAGGCTACTGGGCGCAGGGTTGATGGAGGGAGTAAAATTGGTAAAATTGAAGTTTTGGGGGGCGGCGCATTTCCCTTGGGTATTCGAAATGGGCGCGCTGGTGTCCCAAATGCAGGCGAGGATGAAGGAATAGGATCCCCTGTCGCCATTCTGAAGCGATCAGGATGTCGCGGTGTTGAGGCGTCCATATTATCTCGAGACTTGAAGAAACGCGACAAAGCCTTATAAATTGGGTATCAGTTCATAAGCTTAAGCGAAAAGCAATTCAGAATAGAAAAGGCTTCGGTAAAAAGTCAAAGTAAATGCATTGGTAGAGAGGAGAGGAAGAGAGAGAGGGAGAGAGAGATCGCAGAATTCAATTAAATCGACGCGTGACACGCGCGCCGGAGCTAAAGCTTCTTCCAATCTCTTTCTCTCTTTTTTTTTTCCCACTTCACTCGACTCTCCTCCTTTAGTCTTATTCTTACTTAAAAAGGCTATCCTTGTAATTTTTCAATTTGTTTCTTCTTTCACTCTTCAATAAAATCGCTTTCGCCATGGCCGATACACAAGACGTTCAATCACCCGTCTCGGAGCAAGAGAAACGAACCCAACTCGATGATTTGATCGCACGTGCTGCTGCAAAAGATGCGACCAAAGACCACGACTCTGCCTCCGAGCTGTACTCTCAAGCTACTGAGCTCCAGGCCGAACTCAACGGCGAATTGTCCCCCGAGAATGCAGATTTACTCTATGCTTACGGAAAGTCATTGTACAACGTGGCTGTGAGTAAAAGCGATGTCCTTGGCTCCAAGGTAGCCGGCGAGCAGCCGCAATCCGGCACGGCATCTTCCACGAATACATCTTCCGCTGGGTCGAAATCCACCAGTGATTCCCTTGTTCAAGGCGCGATCTCCAATTCGATGGAAAAGTCCTCTTCCGCCAAGCGCGCAGGCAAAGGACCAGAGCCCACAGAATCCAAGCCGTTTTTCCAGTTTACAGGAGACGAGAACTTCGTTGACTCCGATGACGAGGATGACGAAACTGCTGAGCAAGCCGATGACGATGAAGAAGACGACGATTTCGCCAATGCGTTTGAGGTCCTAGATCTTGCCCGTGTTTTGTACCTCAAGAAGCTGAGTGCTGCAGAGGAAAATGACGGGGGCAAAGGAAAATCGACTGTGGTATCCTCGGACATAAAGCACATCAGGGAAAGAATCGCAGACACACACGATCTTCAAGCTGAAATTTCGCTGGAAGCAGAGAGATTCAGTGAAGCAGTTACTGACTTGAGAACCGTTCTCGAATTGAGAAACTCGCTATATCCTCTAGAGGATCCCTCTGTTGCTGAGTGCCATTATAAGCTCTCCCTCGCCCTGGAATTTGCATCAGTCCAACAAGGTGATGAGGAGAATGGTAACGATAAACCCAAAGTTGATGAAGACATGAGGAAAGAAGCTGCCACTCAAATGGAACATGCCATCGCGAGCTGCAAGGTCCGAATGGCCCAAGAGGAGAAGAAACTTGAAGCCGAAAAAGATGGGGACGAGGACAAGGCAACTGCGACAAAGCGCAAGATCGCCAATGTCAAGGAGATCGTCACCGAAATGGAGCAAAGGGTAAGTATCTTCTCTCTTGTCTTTAATCTAATCCTTGAACTCATTAATAATATACTAAACCAGCTTATTGATCTGCGCCGACCACCTGTCTCAATTGAGCAGAACGACCAAGCCAACGAGGCTATGTTAAAGGGAGTTCTGGGTCAGATTATCGGTCAATCCGCAACAGACCAGAAAGCTCAGCTTGATGCAGCTAGTAAGGGAGCAACAGATCTGTCTGCCTTTGTCAAACGTAAGCCTGCAAAGCAGCCAACCCAGCAAGCCGAAACTGCCTCGAAAAGACCGGCCGAAGAACCTGCGGAGAATGACTCCAAGCGGTCTCGTGTTGACGATGCTTCCTCGTGAGGTGGTTTCGTATCCTTCGGCAGAATCGGAGTTTTTTTCTCTCTCTCTCTCTCTCTCTCTTTTTTATACATCTTAGAACCCATCTAAATTACCGGGGTGTTAATGAATTCAATGAATCGGATCCCGTGCGGAATGCCGGGTAAAAAAAATTTCATAGATCGTGACCTCTTGTTGACTGATATTATAGTGGATTCGTAATGCAATAGGAAAAGCAAGACACCGAGGTTGTTAAAAGGGGTATCGTGTCACATTATGCAATGACCTCATCCCAGAAGGTCCATCCCCAGGATTTCCTACAGGTTATGAGATTCCCCACATCGCGGGTCGACGTTTAATTTCACGGTTTCTTCGACGCGCAGCAAGTCCGGGGCTCCAGATTCCGGCGAACAGGTCCTCACACTCGTCTTCGTCCTGGCTATCAAACTCTGTATCTGCTGGGCCAGACTCGATTTCACATTGGTGATTGGCTTGTATAGTCTGGTCCACACTAGGTAGAGATTCCCAGCACGAAGAGGCTGCGATTTTCTTCGTTTCCAGAATGAACTTGCCAACCTTGTACCGTTGTGATTCTTCTTCGGCTGCAACATACTTCCAGCCCAGGACACTGTCACAGAATGTGCAGGTAACATCGCTGACTGTATGTGCCCCTGTAACAAGCTGACGAGGAACTGGGCGCTGCAGTATCGTATTTGGGAGTGAGGCTGTAGGCGAAGACGATGCGCTGACCGACACGGCAGTGGCTACTGGCTCTGCCGACACAAGATAGGCACGGCCATGGCGACCTGTAAACCCTTTGCTAATAATTTGGGAAGTCCAGCAAAGATGTGAGGCACAGCCTGCGCAGCGCAAATAGGAGACATGGCCGTCGAGATACTTCTCGGTCTTGTTTGGGAGTCTATGGTCTGGAGAAAGCCCCGCACTGCGTTTGGAAAACACAGAGGGAAGGAGGAATTTGGGGAACTGGAGAGATTTGACACGCTCCTTGGACATTCTGTAAGATGTTCAAAGAGATGGCTTCAATTTGACAGGACCTTGAAAGGCTTCCCCGAGAAGGGATATATGTGAAGGTGAGGTCATACCTAGCTCTGGAGGCTTATCTCTTATCTTATCCGTGTCACGGCTTTCTTTTCCGTGAAAGCGGGGAATGACATTTTCATTAGAACAGTATATATATTGTATACATATATATAGAACGCATCAAAAAAAATGAAAACATTGAAATGATATTTGTTACTCGATACTCGGAATAAAGACAGTCGTCTTATGCAACAGAGCATCAAGACATAAACAAAGATCCCATAACTTCAATCCAAAAATAAACGAATCATGCGATGGCATTATTGCTAGACTTCAGCGACCAAGAAAAGCCATTTATTACTAAGGCAAGGCCCTTGGTCGCTGCGTGAGACCCAGGGTATCAAGGTGGTGAGGCTGAATCCACACCATCCTAGACTTCGCACGAGTTCCAATTCATCTGTGCGCTGGGAGCGACTGACACAGGCAACTATTTGTGAGCACCCAAACGTGGCAATATCGGCAAGTTCAAACAGAGCGATCAAGCTGAGAGGGAGAGGGCGAAGGTCAGCGGGTAAGTCAAACACATGGAGGACTGTCACTGAGCAAAAGAGGGGGAAAGCCTTGACTTGTTCAAGGGAACATAAAGGGCGTACATACCCAGACTTGAGGCCGTGTTCAAGTGCACGGTCCTCGAAAAAGACGAACAAGGTCCGCTCTTTATTGTGTTCAGCCACAAATCCGCGGTAGATAGCATCGCCGGAGTAATCCCACACTTCTATCCATCGCTGGATTCGATCATGCTGATGCCCGATTTGATTTGGCTGGATATTTTGGAACGCATCCATCCCCAGCGACTCCTGTCCCACGAAACTCCTCTCACCCAGGAATGTCGCAGACAGTCTGTCACAGAAGAGTCTCTCACACTCTTCCGGGATGTTATGCGTTGCCTCCCCCTTGTACTCTGGCCAGTTGTTTCCAGGCCAGGTTCGTTCCGCGCGGGAATCGAGGATGTCGTGGGGAGGACTTGAACGAGACGATTTAGTCCCCGAAGGGACCTCAGGGATACCACTGTACCCCTAAATTTGAAGATTAGACCTCGAGCAACATGCAATTTTGAGTTACGAGATACTTACCGGCGCCCAGGGTAGTGCAGTAGTGGAAGCCGTGGACCTTGGAGGTCGACGGCTCAACGCTGTAGCAAGTAGCGAGAACGGTGCTCTGGGAGTCTTGGTCGAGGAACCGCTGCATTTGATTGGAATTACTACTGTGGTTATTCATATATTTCGCCATGATAGTCGATATTTCAGATAATTGTTCTGGGAGGGATTTGATGGATGGTGTAGGTCAGGATATCGATCTAGATCGAAATTTGGAATTTGAAGTGAGTAGAGAAGACACGATGAAGACGGTTGGTTTTTTTGGTGAAGAGATCAAGTGGTCTGATTGATGTTGAACAGGAAGTGGATGGTTGTGGTGTGGACATTGTGGAAGTAGAGACGGTGTGAATGGGGGGTTGTTTTTCCCCAGTCACATGACTATCCGTCCTACACTTGGATGTGATTATTCTTTTGATATATTTCCTCGCCTTTCTCCCTGTAGTTAATTATCAGTAGTGATATATATTATGAATTTACTTGTTTTTTTCATATCTTATATCTACCAGTTGTTCAAGTCTAGAGGGTGCTATCAAACCCAAGATATATTAATGCCCAACAGTATGATTTATATCAATTGAAAAGTTGGCATTATACTGAACCGATGCTCGGTATGAATGCCTAAGTCCCACTCAAAAGTATTTAGAGACGTAGGAAATAACGGTTAGATTATTTTTTATTGTGGCTATGGTAGTAGTACACAGTCTGGAGGCAAAAAAAAAAGAAACCTCTCAGGATGACACAAGAGAATAAGTAGGAAAGAAAGAAAGAAAAGAAGAAAAAAAGAAAAAAGAAAAAAAAACCGCTCTAAACAATATGCATATGTACAGTGTACTGAGGAAACCATAATGCAAATCCATAAGCCATAGCCAGCACTTATCTATTCAAAGCTCCCTGTAATCGCTAGGCCGAACTCGTCGGTTTCTAGCCTGATGACGTTGCGGATTCACAGGCTGACGGAAGTATGGTGAATCTTCTTCCCGGGAGTATGGTGTGCTGAAAGTTGTCCGCTGCTGGTTTGAGAAATTGTTCATTCCAGAGCTTGGTCCTTGGAACCCATTCTGGGGCATGTGAAACATCATTGAAGGGTCTCCAGTGAACATGTTGGGAAATCCGTTGGGCATGCCACCATTGCTCTGGTCAAACATCCCAGCTTGAAGAGGATTGAAAGGCATGTTCATGGGATTCCATCCCGGAGCCATGCCATTGGGAAAGCCATTGGCAGATGCCATCGTCATGGGGTTCATGAATCCCATGGCTTCATTGCTGAATCCAGGAGCCGAGAAAGGCATCATAGGCATGCCTTGCATTGGCCCAAAGGCGTTGAAGGGCATATCCTGATTATTGAAATTTGCTGGGGCAACAGGCGCCCCGTCTTGGACGCTACTAGCCGGAGTCGGAATATCGGAACGTCCATCATCTGCCTTCTGTTTCTTTGACACGTTACCCGGCTCGGAGCTTGCAGTTTCACTCCGGGTGGTAGGCTCGTCCTCGGCAGATCTTTTCTTGGATTGTGTGGGTGCAGTCTCTTGAATTTGGTTGAGCGGGCTCTGCTCCTTGTTGGCGGAAGATTCCTTGGGTTCGATTTCAGAGACTTCGGGAACAGGAGTACCATCTGGGCCTGCGGGGAGTTTTTCCTTCTCCTTCTTGGCTTCCGCCTTGTCGGCTTCATATACCTTAATTTTTGATGCAGATTCATCATCAGGAGTGAGGTTATCAAGTAAGACCCCCTCGGTAGCACATCCCGGGCAAACAAAGTCACTTTCAATCAAGGCATTTGAAATACAATCATTGCAATATGTCCTCTGGCAACATGGTGTCTTTGTTGGCTCTAAAAACATCCTCTTGTCAATTGGACACTCTAGACCTCGAGCTTGCAATGCTTTACTCTCCTCAGCAGCAGCTGCTTCAGCGGCAGCTGCCGCCGATGCCTTCGCCTTTTCTTGGTACAATTCCCAGGCTGCCTTGTCTGGCTTCGCAATGACGAAGTCGCCATCAGCATTTACCATGACGCCTGTATTCCTTAATTCTTCAGTGGAGCCATCGGGGGCCAGAGATTCTGGTTTGTCGACCTTGGTTTGAAGTGAACGTGGTATTCCAGTTGATCGTTTGACTCTGTATTTGCCATCGAACTTGGGGTCATTATTGGTAGGGCATGCTTGGATCCAGTGGCCTGCGTACAAAGGTTAGTGGTCTGTGGTAGGGTGATTCAGCTAGAGGTGCATACCTTTTTCTCGGCAACGATAGCAAAGATATCCGGGAGGCGGAGGGTGGTCGGGTACATTGACGGGTTTCCCCCTGCCACGGCCAAACGGTACGGGGGTTGCGCTAATTTAAATAATCAATATCTCCAACGTAATTAAAAGTCCAGTTAGAGGCCTCTTACTTTGCCATTTCTTGTTGTTGTTCCTGCCATTGGCTAGCCTGCAGGTTGAACAGAGCATTGATCTTCTCTTCTTCTGTCTGGGCATTATTGAGTTCGAGGACGTTGTTGTTCACGGATTGTCCTGCTCCGGGTGTTACTCGGCTCATCGATGGCTCATTGCGAGGGGCAATGCGAGCATTGACTGGCATCTTGCCCGAGACATAACGAGCGGCACCGCCCTTACCAGGGCGCGCTGCGGGCAATCGGCGGGCAATCACGGAGGTCGACCGAGGGATTATGGTGGTGTCATCATCGTATTCTGTTGGATGCCAGAAGAGTTCATGTTAATCAGGAGCAAATGGAGTACATTGGAATAGAATAACATACCCTCTCTGGTGTCTTCGTTGTAGATCGACAGCTCAAAGTCACTCCCATCGCCCAATCTACTTTGGCTGATAATCTCTCTTTTGAGCTCAAAGACCGAAATACCAGTGCCATCGAAGGTGACCCTTGAGGGTTCTTTCTGGGACTTGAATTTGAAATGAACGGACGATGACATTGTATTCAATTTGGGAGGGGGATGATGCAACAAAGATGGCTGTAGGTGTACAGATTTAGGGGCACCACCGCCGTGTACAATGAGCAATAGGGGGATAATAGAGAGGAAAGGAACAAAAAAAAACTCGTGTGAAGAAGTGAAACTGGTGTATCACCAGTCGAGACAACAAAGGTCGGGTAACAGATATTATCTGTTCGGATCACAAAGAAAGCACGAGATATTTAGAGAAAAAAACAGGGATCAATAGACCACTGAGACAATGGAACGTGTGAATGAATCTTTTTGAATGCTGAATGGTGAGTGTTCAGGTCACTGCATACAAATGAAGATCAAAGACTTGATGAATACGATGATCGAAGGAACACTGGTGCTGAATATAAAAAAAAGGTGTATTCAAGAGAGATTTGATGGTCTGCCCCGTCCTTCAAGTGATTCGCAGAGCCACCCTAGCACCCTGACCTGTGATCGAACCTGGAGATTTTGCTGACACCAAATCCAGTTATAGAGAGACCTGTTAGGAATGAGCAAATTCACTATCAACCGACCAAGATCGAAGTGTCACAGTTGTTAGGTAATTTGGTTTGATCGGGGCGAGACGGAGTATCAACAAAGAAACAAAGACTGAAATTTAGAAAGGAGAAATAATTGGTGAGGATGGGAACTCTCGCCGCAGTCTGGGGGAGAGGAGAAGGTGAAGTGGCAAGTGAGGAAAAGTCAGATGATTTGCATTTCCACCGCTTTTCAGACCGCTTTTGATAAGTAGATGCTACCACGTGACTCTCCGTAAAAAGTGGAGCATCAGGGGGTACATGAGCTCTATACGGAGTACTATATATGTACTCTATATATGTACTCCGTATTTGATAGGGGTTCAGTACAGCCCGGCTCTTGGGGG